TATGAAAGATTTGCACTTTGATTTTGTTTCGCCAACATAATTGGGTGCCTGGGTGCGGAGAGCGGGCACTATTTTAATGGCCAGCATTAGGAGATCAAACAATTTTGAACGCAATCATGCGAGGCATTTTAATGCGAATGAAAGTGAAAATCGTCTGGCAACATTGTTTCGTGGTCACAGGCAATTATGCAAGGATAAATGGGATACAGATGCATGTGCTCGATTGGCTGGGATTGGAGTGGCTCCGGTTAAGCTGAGCTAACCAGTGTAGGCAGAGCGCGCCCACCCATTACGACAAAGCAGGGGAAGGGCTGAACGACGCAGTGAATACCCTACAATTTCACTAGGATTTTATCTGAGCAAATTTAACTTCTGCGCAAGCTCTTGAATATTATTTATATAATATTAAATTCTAAAAAGTCTGCGTGATTTTAAAAGTAATTCATAAGTTTTCTAAAAAACAAACATCTTATATATAGACTTTAATCGCTTTTTCCATTTTAAAATATCGTCCGACCAGCGAGTCGATTGCTTTTCATGTAAGCGCATTAAATGCCAATGGGTACAAGGAGACCAAGATGCAAGAGTGGCCATTTCCGCCTGTGTCAAGTGCATGTCCTCACGTCGAGAAGCAACCGTTCAAATGGAAAGCGATTTGTCTGGTTTTAGCTAATAATTTATCGGGCCTCCGCATTCGCAGTCGTCGCCTTCGCCTTCGCCGCCTCTGCCATTTATTTTCCTCAGTCCGTTGATCAGTCAATCAAGCAAAAAGGCGAGCTGAAACCGAGCCGAAATCCAAGTCGACCCGAGTGGTTCCAATGAGACTTTGTGTCTGGCTGTCTATCTGTTTGCGGTGTTGATTGCCCTGCTCGTGACCCCCGCTGATCAACGCCTGCCGGCGGAGGAGCCACCAAGCGTTGTCCGCCAGGTGGGCGTTGGGTATCACACAACTTGCGGCGGCTTCACCTCTGACTTTGGCTTTATTAAGAGCCACAAGGCGCGCGGATGAGCAGCTCCTCGGATCCCGGCAAGTGACTGGGGTGGCGGATTCAATGGAGGCTCCTATCAAGCACTCTGTATGCGGGCCTTAAAATCAATTTATGCAAAATTACTCACGAGAGAAGTTCGATGAGATCATTGGTTTATTAATCCTGCGACCTCGCCATTCTTGGCAGCGTAATGCAATTACCGAAATTTAAAATTAATGTAATATTCTAATCTAAAACCAGCTCTATCATCGCGATATCAAAATCTTTAAGTAACACTATTATTTGCATGCAAATGCAAATAAGATTAATTCCTATAGCTCCCCTCGCAATGAGCAACCAGGATGCCGTCTTAGCCAAGTGACGGGACAAAAACATTTGTTAACACTTTAACGAGTTGTGATTTAGCCGGACTCCGTCTTTGACCATGGCCAATAACTCCGAGCTACACGCTGAATCTCCAGCTTAAATGCCTGCCGGCCAATTGGGGGGCAATTAAAGTTGCACTTGTAAAAGCAAATTGATACGGTGCTCAATCAACTACCCCTGCGTCTTTTCTTTTTCACAGCTCCACGGCTGGACCCGAACAACAACAACGAGTGGCGTCCTCTTGGACACGGGGATCCCCTGCAGAAGGACCCCACCTACGACTACAGTCCGCCGGCCTTGGATCGAGTGCGCTACTGGGCGGAGAACAACAGCACGGGCCAAAGTAATCCAGAGGCGAGGAAGAAGGAGCTACCACCGGAGGTCCTTCGCAACAAAACGAAGAGTGAGGTACTGCTCCTCGGAGTGGCAAGCGAACGCGTTAGGGTCCCCCACTCCCATTCATACCCACCAGTTGGTGGCCTAGGCCATTATCAGCAGCACCAGCAGCAGCAGCAGCAACAAGCTAAATATGCGGCCATCCGCAGGAGCTACTATGCCCCCACCCAACAACAACATAGCCCACAAATGCCACAGCAAAGCCATCACATTCCACAGCATCTGCATGCCCAGCAGCACATGCCGCCCACCCATTTGATGCCACCACCCATGATGATGATGAAATCAGGTGGTTCGTCCGTTGCTCCAGTGGAGTATAGGCACAGTATGGTGGCCACGGGAGCGCCCACCTCCTACATGAGCCTCAACCATATGAGTTCTCCAACGCCCAAACAGGCGATGACTTCCTCAGTGGTTTACCATCAGCCGCCGGCGATGGCTCACCACACCTCTTTATCTTCCTCAACGCCTTGGATGACCAGTAGGCCACCATATCGTTTGAGTTACTCAGACCCCCATCTGCAGGAATCAATGCACACATACAGCTTTTCCAGGCCGCATCACCAGCAAACGATGATCTACTCGCCCAACTCTCTGCCAGGACATCAAAATGGATCAAAGACAGGTCTGAGGAAACCGTGGCTCCATGAGCTACTCCAAAAAGAGGTTGTGGTAACGTCGAAGCCCAAGGTCAAGCCCACAATGCCAGCCACAAAGTATTTGATGGGCACAACCAAACCACATCATCCACAACCACCGTTTGGCTTTGGCATTAATTCCACCCGCCCCCCATTTACCTATGCACCCGTGACATTTGTGCCCGGTCCACCCACCATAGCAGTTCCGACGGTGGCCACCAGAAAGGAGCCCCAACCTGAACTCTACATCACACCCACTCCCCAAACAAGCAGCTCTGGTTTTAGGCCCATGATGATGACCAGCACTACCAGCGTGGGAACCACTCCATCGACCACAACGACAACTTTGCCCATTTATCAGCGAGCCACAACGACCAGTAATCGCTTACTGATCCCCCAGACGAGCAATCTAGCACAGAGACCCACAGTGGCTCCTGCTGCCAGTGAACCCACCACGGACTCTCTTTTCTCCCACTACAAGCAACCACCGAAGCCGCTGCTAGGACCCATGTACCTCATCATCGAGGGCCACTCGAAAGTGAAGACCTACGGCCAAAATGAATTGGATCCACATAGTCCCAAGATAGTGCCGGTTATCTCGAAGAGGGAGCCAGTGGTTAGGATAGCCGATCCCAATGAGAAGCGGGGTACTGTGGAGTCCTATCAGGTAAAACATTTGCACACCAAAACGACGCCTATGACAACTACCAGTACGACTAAGAGGCCCACTACCACGAAACCTACGACCACCAGAGCTCCTGAAAGAACACCTGTATGTAGCACCACTAAAGCACCAGTGAGGAGTAGCACCACCACTGTGGCCACCGCCACGAAGACCACAACCTCAACAACCACTAAAGTGCCCATAAGCACTACTACCCCCCAAATTCCATCACAACCCACTCCAGAGAACCCAAGCGGTGTCAATGATCTGATGAGTCTGCTGGACAATATGTTTGCCGACGCCCAACGGATAGCCTCTGCCACTGATTCACCTTTGGTTGCCAGCTCGACCACGAGCACCGTTCTGAAGCCAGTTAGCACCAAGTTGCTGCCGCAGCAACCGGAACCTAGGATATCCAGTCAGGCGGCGGGCATAGAGAGCCTCCTGGAAAGTGGCACCCATGAAGATGATGAAGCTGGTGAAGATCTGGGGTCACCGATTTCCACTGAAACACCACCTCGGGCAACACGTCAGGTATTTGACTATGATCAATTGCCTGAGTCACGGATTAAAGACGGGGTCACCACCAAAGGTGATATTATGGAATACAATGATGATGATGAGGAGGAGGGCATTGAGGATGATAATGAAACGACCAGTGATGCTCAACTGGAAAATGATGAGGACGAGGAGGAGGAGGAGGAGGAGGCTGAAGAGCCAAGCAATTTACTCAAACGAATCGATCAATTTGTGGATGATGTGGATGATGGTGAAGACGACTTGGAGGATCTGATCGAGGGTCTGGACGAGGACGAGATCGACGAGAGGCGACAGCAGCACTAGCCCAAAACATGCATTTTTCTTGAACTGCGCTCTATACCAAATCTATCAGAAACTTTTTCTCACGCCTAATACGTTCTGTACATAAGTCAGCTTTAAATGAATCTGTATTTATTTGTTGTTAGTTGTTAGGCCCTGCTGGCGTCACAATGTGACTGCATTCTATACCCAATGTTATTCGAGCAAAGAGTTTTCGTTGTGTAATTAAGCATTAAATTATTAAAATTTTTCTACGTTTTTTAGTTGTTAAGTGTGAAAATAATTGAAAATAAAACGAAATACGAAAATTAAAGACAACAGAGCCATCTATTGGGGAGATCAGCCGAGAGCGCCACCTGGTGCGTAGCCAGCGGCGTTTACACCGGAGTCTTTTTACACAAATATTACAAATACTTGAATGTTAAAAATAAGGTGAGTTGAAATTCTATAATACGACAACTAAAATGAAAATAAAAGCGCAGCTTTCCTTAACATATTTAAAAGTACTTAATTTCAGCACTGATAAGAATTAAACATTCATTAGTCTATGTACTTTATAATAATACTATTTGATTTTGAAACAACCCGCCAAATTTCCTTCCAGTAAAATCGATCGTTCACTGCTCGATACCGATAACCCGAGTAAATATTTCTGACAGTGTTGGCATATTAGCTTTGTCTAAGAAACAAGTACTTTCTGAGTATCCATTTTTACTATATTATTGCTACTTACTTTAAGGTCTACCATTGGTATAGTTTAAATCGACGTTTATGGCTCGTACCACATTCGTAAGTGGTTTCCCACCAAATACATATATTTTACGCTAAACTTTGGACATCACTGATGTTCGACCTTATTGGCTCGGTCTTTGTTTATTTCCAATTGGATTTTCCAAGCGTCAGTTGAGAACTCGCCGCTGAAGCGTGCGGTTTACGGTAAAAATAGGCCGCTTCCAGTACGTGAAAATCAGTCTGCTCTTGTTGGAAGAATCAACAACAACTTGCCAATTGGATTAAATTGTGTGCAAGGTGTGCACAACAATATATTATTAACTAAGTACAAACAATACGAGCCACTCGAAAGTTCACACAGCTCAAGTGGAACATTAAACGATTCGTGTGAGAGTTTTGTGTGTGTTTGTTTACGCTTCTTCAGCGATCTTCGTTCTCTGTCACACTTTCGCTTTTTTTTGGAGTTTGCGAGAGCGGAGTAATGAACTTGAGCGAGTAAGAAGAAGATCTGCAAATGCAGTTGTTGCAATCGGAAATGTGTTTCTGTGGCCACTGAAAAGTAAAACAAAAGCAACAAGTGACAAACACGTGCAGAGTGATTGTGATTTGGTGACTCAACAAAGCCCATTAAGCGGCTTAACTTAATGATAACGGCAGCTAGGCTGATAAAAGACTAGAGAAACATAACAACAAATCGTATATAATCGAATAAAGGGGCTATATTTTGCCATCATAAATTAGTGAAACTATCTCCGCCTTCCCTTGAATTGAATGGGCGGTGATAAAGTCTATATAACTAAATGTGTGAATGCGTGTGCATATATTTGACCAATGGCTGTATAACCTTGAACCGGGCATTGCGTCGCGAGCTGAAAAATACAACATTTCAGAAATCGAAATGTGGCGTCTCGCCGTCAAACAGAAAAAGCCAAACAGTAAAAACCAAACAAACTTCTATGCCAAAAAACCGGTTTGGCTGAAAACCCAAACAGAGAGTACTTCTGGCCGGAGATAAAACGACAAACAACAAAACAAGTTATCAGTCGCACGGCAAAAGTCAGACTCCGGCTGATAAGAGCATTTTTGTTGCTGATTAGAGAGGAACCGGCGAAATTTTTGTGTCTATTTCCCCTCGATAAGTTGGACTACAGTAAAGCTTGCCCTGGTAAACTTCACACTTTATATCCTATGGCGCACTTTGAAGTTGAGTTTTCGTTTCAAAAGAACTAGGAATATTTCATTAATCAAAGTCAGCGGACCCTTTTCATTCGATTCCAGCAAGATCCCCCCATAGAATTCCGACTCCGCTTGCATGCATCCGTTTTACATGGTAAGGGGCAAGAAAATTGTGATTAGGGTGGCCCAGCCAGACACGTCTACCCTGGCAACATGATAACGAGGGGATTATGCAATCTCCGAGTTTTTGAACCGCAGCTTGATAACCTTTATCAATCGATGTTCCATTGGCAGACGTTCAGTACTCAAGTTGATGAATCGACTTGAGTTACTGACCTACTTTTATCGTCGCTATGGAGAGTTCTTCCTTATAAAGCTGCAACCGGTTCCGACAGTAATTATTCGACCAAGTAAACTAAAATGACTGGAATATTTACACGATTTTAAGGACGCCCTAGGGCAGTGCGTAATATGAAAACCTAACAGTGGTCACTGTATTTCGAAACTTTTCCAAGATCCATTATCATCTCTTCAGGCCAGAAAGTGCTGTAGTTACCGCTGAACCACCCCCACCTTCGTCTGTTTAAATATAAACCGAAAGTTCAACAAACTAATCATCAAACCGCAGAGAGCATTCAATTCAGGTTCGGTTTCCACATGCGGGTTGTGTATGCATGTATGTTCTTACATATCTGTTCGAACAGCACAGCACAGGTCAAAATATTAGTGGTCTTAGCAGAAAAAGTAATGCGTCGACGCCAGCTAGGCGTATAAATATGCGTTTTTTATAAGGACCTACGACAAGTAAACTTGTACCTTGAACGTGAAAATATCATACAAAGTTATCTCGATTATCATATTTTTCTCTAGTGTTTCCTGCACGTATCTGTAAAATGAATTTTAATGGGTGCATCAATGCAGTACCTCTTTGAGTGCTACATGAACATCTCGTACTGCTGCTGTCCCCAAAGCCTGGTAATTACTCATTACTCTGTTGAAGCATGACGAGCTCCAACTTCAACTTGCGTCACGGTGACTCGACTGAAATCGTTCTGCACTTCAGGAACATATGAGATTGGAGGTCTTTGTTGCACTTGAATCAGTGGAACGCACTGAATAATTATGTAAAAACTTTGTTTGCTGCCAGTGGAATACTAAATCCAGCCTGCGAGACAAAAATTGCTAAAATTCTTCACATTACATCTTCTGAAAGCCATTACCCAAATGATTGGCATCTAAATACGATCACTATAAATTGGTTATATATCGGTGCATAAGCGATAAGCAGCGATAGTGGTCGAACTTTGATATCAAATAAACAAGGTATCAAGAAACTACTCAAATAAAACTATTAGGTGAAATTGTTGCCTTCATAGCGTGACGTAGATTTGAATACTTAAGATTTCTTTTCAACAGATAACACACGAATTTCGTCATAGAAGTTGCCTACATATTTGCATTATACTGAATTATAAATATTAAATAATTGCTGAGACAACAATTTCTAATCGTATCTTGCTACTAGTTGTTTGGCATAAACAAGTTACGTGAACGCAAGTCTATAACTCGAATCGCATTTATATTCAAAAATAGAATCTGCACATATGTATAAACGGTTGGCGGTTGGGGACTAAAAAATTGCCATTGCAAACGTTGGATGTGATTTTCATTTTTGAGGTTTGGTGCCGATAATGCCCTCCCATTCGGTTGACATGCGATCTTGACTTTGGGAGCTAATGTCAAGTACGGTTGTAGCAGTTTAACAACTGGTTTTACACGATTTAAAAGAGAAGCTGTTGGCTTAACCACATTATCAAATGCGGGTTCAATGTCTATGCAAATCGGTATCTGATTACCCAAGCAGCAATCTCAAAGTCAGCTGAACTGCTGAACTTTGACCGCAATGAATGCGTATTTTGCTTCTGGTTTCGTCGGGACCTATTTATTTTTTAACACAGTAGTCGTAGTATTTACGACTAATTTATGGGCCGCTTCAGCAAACAATTAAACGATTTTCATAAATAAAATGCAAGATATGTGATTATCTTGTTACTTAATTACCCTCATTACTTCTAATCAGAGTTGCGTATTTATGCAATAGATTACCGGCTCCGATTAGAACCTCTGATTAGAACCTCCTCCGGGGATCCAATCTGAGTTATTTGTGGGTCAAAATAAAAGCACTTAAACATTTTATAAGGGATACCAAAACAAATCTTATCTTTGCCTTTCAACTGCAAACGGAATTAGTGATAAGCATGAACTAATATTCATAAATAAAAATTCCTTCATAGAGAGAGCACCGCCATGACCACCAATAAGGATCCCCAAGATAAGGAGCCCGGGAAAGCAGAACAAGCGACCAGGAATGGCGGATCCAGCGGCGTGGGAATCATGAAGCGCTTGAGAAGATCAGCTTCCGCCACAGAACATAATCTTAGCAGTCTGCGGAACCGCAAGTCGACACAAAATCTATTCGATCAGCACGGCAATCCCATCGATCTTCGACAGTATCGTAAAGTCTTGGATAAGGATGAAAATGGTAATGGAACAAACGGATCCGAGAAGAAGCTGAGGTACAGGAGAACACAAAGTGTGACTCGTGCCGAGGAGATTTCCAATAAGGAGGAGAAGCAGAGAAGAGCTCAGCCTGGCAGACCGTAAGTAAGGAAATGCAACTTTTTAAGCCCAAACTCAGGGTTTCACCTCTTTCAGAATCCATCGGCCACGAGATTCTCTGTTTTCGTGGAGCTCTGGATTTACAAATTTTTCTGGCCTGGTCAACTGGGGATTTCTACTGCTCTGCATTGGAGGTCTGCGTTTGGGTTTGGAGAATCTGTTGAAGTAACTACGATAATCTTAAGTAAGAATACATGCTTTAACTAACTCCCCACTTCTTAGATATGGAATTCGCATCAACCCCCTGGACTGGTTCTTCTTTATAAGCGGCCACAACGAAGGGGAGGGCCACAACGCCTTAATCCTGAGCATATGTAAGCACCCACTAAATCAAGGATTACCCGAGCGGATTTAATAACCTCCATATTACCATCCCTTACAGACTCTTTAGTTCACATCTCGCTCTGTTTGGCTGTGGAAAAGGGTCTAGCGATGGTAAGTACTCACTTTGATAGCATCTCACGCCTAATTTCTTCGATCGCGACTTGAAATACGTTATAAGCTTGAACATGGTTTATATGCCAAATTTTAAAATATCTAGTCAATGCTAGTATCACAATTTTGATAAATTAGTTGAAGGTTGTTGACAAGAAATGATTTGTTTATCAGAGAGAAAAGTTTGAAAGATTCGGAAGCTATTGCAGTGTAATACAACCTATTTCTGAAAACATAACTTTTAATTGTATACAAAACTTACATATAGTTACATTAGATACAATCTTTTAATGACAATAAGCTGGACATGCAATGAATGATTGAGTGCGTTTATGTGAAGATTTCCGAATGTATGGCGAGGTTTGATTGCGATGAGTGGGTTCCTTGTCGTTCGTTTCCTTTAGGCAATGCGTACTCCAGCCTGATCACAATATTTCTGGAGCACTTGCTTGTATTCCGGCTCGAGGGGCGACAGCAATGTGGGAAATTCTGCTGCCCTAGCCTGGGCAAACTTAGAGAGCGAAGTGGCTAGAAACTGGCGAGCATTCGTAATCTCAGCCAGATGATCCTGCTGTTTGGGCTGGGCATGAGTAAGTTGTGCAAATGCCACTTGATAGCCCGCATCGGGATCCTCGGCAACTCCTGCTGGCTCTCCTAACTCAAGGCCCTTCAATTTTTCGGGCGGTCGCTCAAATAGATCAATTAGAGAATGCAGCAGTCGTGGCCAGAAAGTAGCGTACTGTTGCTGCAATATTTCTGGAGTTTCTGTAAGGAGCTTAGTGACACCCACGGCCACCATTTTGCGATCCTGTTCCTTGGGAACCTTGCCCATTTCGGTGATGAACACGCGATCCAGCAGCATTCCAAACAGGTTAGGCTGAATCTCATCGATCAATTGAGCCATCTGACTGCCACTGAACTTAATCACATAAAAGCTGAAGAAGATTATGATGCCACTTAAATACTTTGGAGTCTTTGAGAGAGACAATCGCTGGAAGAGCAAGCCAAAGATCTGACGAAGATTGCCTTGAATCTCATCGGGAGGATAGTAGGAAAGCAGATTCTGTAGAAGATAAAAACCTTCATGGTCGTTAGCCTTGGAGGCAATCATCTTTTGGAATATTCCGAGGATTCCGCTCTGAAATAAAATTTATAAGATTGGAAGCTGTAAAATTAAATATGTGTTATACTGTATAAGGTAACTTACCAGTTTACCCAAGGCTTGAATCTGAGCTGAGCCCTGCTTGATAAAAGCAGAAATAAGGCGAATCAATGGTGTGACATTGCCCGTCCGGTCCCACAGAGCTGGGGACAACAAGCAAGGGAACAATGCCCAATAGGGTTCCGGTATGGTACCAGAGCCTTCACGCATTTCCAGCAGTACAGAAAGCATCTGGAAAACGTAGGGCATAAATTCGACAATATCCTGCTGTAAGATTCCTTGGAAAACTGGGAACAAGGCCTCCTCAAAAGAGCTCACAGCCGAGGCATCGGCCTGACAAACAATTCTAGCGAAAAAGAAAGTTTATAATGGATCGTTAGCATCGAAATATAATATATAATACTTACTTTATACACAGAGCCAGCGTCTCAAAAAGGTAGTGATTAAAGTGCGGACGCGACGGATTCTTAGCCACCTGGGTGAGAATCTCGGTAAGCCGTGGAAGGGCGACGCCCATGAAGGGCATGGTAGCGGATTCCAAAACCGAAAAGCTTCGCATAATGGCTAAAAGGAATAATTACAACTTTATTAGCATATCAGAAAGGGATAAACTAGTTCCTCAAACTGACCTTTCATTACGTACTCATTCTCTCCGGATCCTGGAAGCGAAAGGGTCGCAAACAATCCACTAATAAGTTGGGTTGCGTGAGGTGCTAATATCTGAGGCCCAAACACGATCGCATTGCTAGCATCCCGCATAGTAAGGATCTTCTCCACGGAACAAGCAGCATAGCTATGAACAACAGGGCTTTCGGCGGGGAGATGTCTAATAAGCTGGGGCAGGCAGTTGGCCAGGACTTGGGGACCCAAAATGCTCCGGAACACCATTATATACTTAATGGCAGCAGCTTTAAGCACGGGAAACTCGTTAACTGCAAGGATAAGTGGAAAAATGCAGATATAAGATGGGCGAATTAGGAAAGTAATTATTTGGGCTTACTGTTGGGTCTTTCCAGTTCGGGAATAATTTGCTGGGCACAAAATTCAGGAAGTGGAACCAACTCCGAGGTCTTTGTGATGCCATGCTTTTGAGTTCCACCTCGTGATGCCCACGAAGTAACCAAATAAATTGCCGTATCCTTCGACCTCCAATTGGTAGCCGGATTCTCTTTATATTTGGTTAACAATATCTCAAGATACTGGCCAAAGATACCAAATATCTTTTGCTCAAAGTTAATTGATAGAGTCTTGACCAGATCGCAGGCTGCCCGACGTCGTGTATCAATGTCAGAGCCTTCAATATCCCTTCGAATATACTCCTCTGGACTGTCCTCGAAAATTTCCTCATCTGAGGGCCGGATGTCTAGATTGGGAATGACTACTTTATCGCAGATCTGTGCTAGAATTTCTGGATTCTCGAAAATGCTCTGATAGTGCTGGCGCTCTGCCACCACAGACAGGAACTGTAGAGCATGTGAAACCAACTGTGTGCAAAATAGATATAGGGACGCTTTAGAAATAATTATTGAAAAAACATATGGTTTTGGTTACTCACCGAATCGTACTTGGTTTGCAAGCTGGTCTTGACCAGCAACTCCCAGACTGCAGTCACAAATTGCTCCATAAATGGCTTGAACTCCTCGTCGTACTTTTTCGCATATAGGCAAATGTTCTCGCAGACTTGAGCACGCAAATGCTCCAGCACACCCGCTTCCTCATCATCTCCAGTACACAGGGATGGCACATCCGCGGCCAGCTGTTGAATAAACGCTCCCATCCACGTGTTTATATTGTCCTCAAAGAACTCTGGCAAATCTTGGGAATTCAATGAGAAGAATACTTTGTTCACAAGAACCAGAGAGCCGTAGATGACCTTCAAAGCCTCGGCATTGCTCTCGTGCACCTTGGTCAGCTGCATAGTGGCCTGGAGCAGGTCTGTCAGAGGTTTGGCCATGCGATCCAGCACGAATTTGATCTCCTCCCACAAAGCCTGCGACTTGAACTCATAACGATAGCGCTTGAACAACGAGTGTGCGGTTTGCAAAACGCCGTTGATGACATTGAAATCGCCAGAAGCAAATCTCTCCACCATCTCGTCGATAAGCTGAGGCCATTTTTTGGGAAAATCATGTTTGCCAATGATGCTGACCGCATCGCTTAGTTGTTTTTGCAATGCCACCGGTGAGTGGAGCATAAGCGTTACGATCAGGGTCTTAATTGTATTCCTGTCACTTTCGTGGATGCGATCCGGCCCATCGCTGTCCAGGTGGGCTGCCCAATTCCGCTTTATATAGTTTTTAAAGGCAATGGCTCCCGCCACTCGGGTGGTCATGTCCATTTGGGCTTTGTCTATCAGATTGAGCAGTAGGATCGGGTAATTCTGCTGCAGTTCCGTGGACTCCAAAAGTTTTTCGGCTATGAAAAAGGAAGGAAATTGGATGTTTGTTAGAATGAATTCGTTGTAAGAAACTGATATAAAGCCTCTAGTGATCTTCGGTAGACTACATTAATTCAAGCCAACAATTAACATTCTTATACAATATTTAAAAAGCTTGGCTTGGAGATCTGCACGTTTTTGACATGCCTTAAAAATTCTAATACTAGGGCTATGGCTTTGAAAACTTGCGTGGCAACAGTCATATCAAGATCAGCTAATCTCAAATCAGTGAATAGAAAGCTGCACGACTGTAAAATTCCATAGAGGTCGGGGAAACTTGTAGAACATTCAAATGGATTTATAAACCGTATTTTATTTAAGCGTCGCCAATAACCATTTCCCGCGCACACACACATCAGCACCCTTGCACGCATGTGCAGTTGTATGTGTGCCAATGGCACACGCATTCCTACACACACACTCACCCGGCCGGCGGACATTTGGATCGGCGCTCAGCGTCTGCTGCAAATAACCGGCCAGCAGCTGTAAATTTGCCTCCGTCACTTCCATATTGAGTCTGTTTTCTTTTGGATGGTCCTATTTGCTTTATTAAATATCACTCGTGGCTTTTCTCTCCACACTTTTGCAACATGAAATGAAATCGCAAATCGTTTTCGCACACAATGCTCGCAGATCTGGAGATGGATGTCAGAGCAGGGTTTTATTATCGATTGTTAACTAGTGATGGAAGAAGTTACCGTTACTGGGTCTCGATAGTTTTAGAATTTAAAAATTTGGTTTCAGTTATAATATCGAGTTCGGTTTTTAAAGGCAATTAAATCAATTAATATAAAATTTACTTACATTGTTAATACTTTTGCAGGAAATAATTGCAGAGGGCTTGGGCTTATTCATCCAGATAGTCAACATTGTTGTGTTGGTTTGCCTGCCGGTGGTAACCATTCACCTGAAAGGACATGCTTTTAGCTTGAGTAAGAATAATTTAATTTAAATGTATTTTTAGTGACATCATTATTTTTCAACCTTTCAATTTTTATAGTGGGCGCTTCAACAGTTTGCTTCTTTTACTCTGTGTTGTTCCTGAAACTCTGGTCCTATGTGCAGACGAATATGTGGTGCCGCCAGACTTACTATCAAAAGAATCCGCGGGAGCGTCGACCAAGCATAACTTTGGCAGAACTAAGTATGCTAGGCCTCTTAAGCGTTGGTTTTATATTATTAATTCATCTTTCATCCAGAAAAAGGTGTTTTGCATGGCGGTGAAGAAGACGAGGACGTTTCAAAACTGGTGCAATATCCTGATAATCTCACGTACAAAGACCTATTGTACTTCCTTTGTGCGCCCACACTCTGTTATGAGTTGAATTTTCCGCGCACTTCGCGCGTGCGCAAGCGCTTTTTGCTGAAGCGTTTATTGGAGGTGGTGATTGGAGTGAATGTGGTGATGGCTTTGTTTCAACAATGGATAATTCCATCGGTTCGGAACTCCCTGATTCCGTTCTCCAACATGGATGTGGCTTTGGCCACTGAGCGACTCCTTAAACTTGCGGTTGGTAGAATGGAAATTACCAAATGCTTGTGTATTATTTAATATCGTTTCTTTAATTAGCTACCCAATCACCTTTGCTGGCTGTGCTTTTTCTATCTAATGTTCCACTCGTTTCTAAATGCGGTGGGCGAACTGCTAAACTTTGCTGATCGCAATTTTTATTGTGATTGGTGGAATGCGAATAACATTGATACCTTCTGGCGAACATGGAACATGCCAGTTCATAGATGGTGCGTGCGTCATCTCTACATCCCTGTGGTCCAAATGGGCTACTCCTCAAGACAGGCCTCTACAATTGTCTTTCTGTTCAGTGCCGTCTTCCACGAATATTTGGTACGAGGGCTGGTAATTTGAATTTGACATTTTTTACAATATCATTAACATTTTCAGGTTTCTGTTCCTTTGCAAATATACAAAATATGGGCCTTTATGGGAATGATGGGTCAGATTCCCCTCTCGGCCATATCCAAGTCAATTGAGAAGAAATACGGTCCCCGAATGGGCAATATAATCGTGTGGGCTTCCATTATTCTCGGTCAGCCTCTGTGCATAATGGCCTATTATCACGATTATGTGGTCCAGCATTTTAAAAACTCACTCAACGGAACCGACTACAGTAGTTAGATTTCAAAAACCTAAAATTTTGAATATGGAATACCACTGAAATATCTGCATTGGTCGGGTCCGCGTACTTTTCGTAATTTTTAAGCCAGAATGCAAGTTAGGAAGGAAACTTGTGATTGCCAAAATACAAAGGATATTTTGTATGACTTTTGCACATGCATGTAGTACTGATGAACACAAATAGATTGTTATTGAATGCATTTGTTAATGAATTTAAGTGTCATGTAAATAAAAAAAATTTTAAACTAAATAAAAGGTTTTATTTTTTATTATTTTTGATTATTCATAAAACTGACATATATTTAATTTAATAAGCTTCGTGTTCGATAGTTTCTTCACTAGAGAATGCGATTGTTTTTGCAGCACTACGGTCACACTTCATCGCTGCCCAAGCCAAAACAGTGACAGTTTTTTTTTCCTATAACTCGAAAAAGAATTGTCGTCCACTTGTGGGCCTAATATAAGTAATATTTCTGCTGTACAAAGTCGGCTCAATCTGGCCCCACACTCGATCCAGCTTTTGCGGTAAGATTTAATGATTCGCCAATTTCTTCGTCGGCTTTTAGCGACGCCCGGCACATACACGCATACACATTCGCTGTTTGGCCAGTGTGTATATGTGTGCCGCTGTCTGATTAGTGTGCGCCAGTGTGTGTGTGCAGCTCGTGCTGGGTCTGAAAAATTTTTCCTATATCGCCCCTTGCATGAGGCAATAGTTAAATGCGAGAGGGAAACAGATTCTGAAGGGCGACAAAAATGTTATTAATTTCCAGAACCCTTTGGAGAAGTCATCAGCGCCTCCAGCTGCAACAGCAACTCGTGCACAGTGCATCCAGTGGCGGTTTCTTGGCGGAAAGGCACATTCGGCATCGGAGCACCCCGGATTCGTTGGTCTCGGCACAAGAACCGGCTGATTGCGGTCACGTAAGTGCTCATGAATCACGAATTAGCCATTAGTCTCGTCCATGTCCAATCCTTAATCCTTAATAAATTCGGTTTGCAGATCATGAGTGGCAGATATCGTGGAGGTGGTGGAGGCGGTGGTGGCGGCGGACGATTTGGAGGCCGAGGTGGCGGTGGATATGCAGATAGTGGCGGTTACAATGACTTCGACAACTACCGCGGTGGCGGAGGACCAGGCTTTGGACCAGGTCCCGGGCCAAGTCACTTTAATAGTAAGTGTATATCTCAGAAGTACATAGCTTACCTTTTTCATAAAATTTCCATATTCAGTGTAATTGGTCCAACCGATTATATATATTTTATTAAAAATAGACAATTTACAAATACACTTAATTGTTTTCACTCGATATATTTTTCAATCTTTTATTCAAGTGGGTGGTCCTAACATTTCTGGCAATGAACTGATGCAGCTGATGAGTGCCATGGCCGCCAGCAACTTCAACATGACTTCACAGCCCCCGCAGCCCATGCGCCAGAGTTGCGGCGAGTTGCGCAATCACCATTGCGGATTATTTGTTGAGCTGTCCGGAAGGCTGATTAAGAAGCGGGTGAATCGATTCGCGGAGCTGCGCGATCGCAACGGCGGCGCATGCCAGCTTGTGGTTCTGGAAGACAAGCATCCGCGAGTGGCGCGGCGCATGAACAACATGCCCGAGAACACAACTCTAACTATTGTGGGTTTGGTGATGCGTCGACCACACAATTCGTGCAATCAAACGATGCCAACGGGCGAGATCGAGGTGGAGGTGCAGGACATCCTTAACATTCATTTCCCGGCCAGCGGCACCAAGAGAGCTAGTGACAAGCGCACATACAGCACAATGGTGCAGCAGCAGAGTAATCTTGGGATTACGAGCACCGAGTACAAGATTGCCAGTAAGTGGGAAAGTCATTTAAATTCTGGCAAATGGGTTAACTTATATTTATATTGTCTTTCACAGAGAACGAGAATATATTGAAGTATTTTGAAAATCGTGATCTCACCTGCAACGATCTTAGGCGCGACGATGTGGGGAAGACAGTGACGTTGGTTGGTTGGGTTCCCTCTACCAAAAACAACAAATTCTTGCAGCTCAAAGATGGTTATGGCCAAACACAACTAATGATCGAGGATCAGTCGGTAATGGAAAATATTATATGATTGTTTTTCCAAATTGTTTATCCTGAATATCTATTTCCAGCTTAGCGACACATTTCTTTCAACACCAGAGCAAACAGTTATACAAATAGTGGGCAAAGTTCTGGGGAGACCAAAAGCCAATGTTAATTTGGTAAGAATTAATAAACTCCATCGATTGGTAAAATGAATCAATTAGATCCCCTTTAGAAATACGATACTGGTGAGGTGGAAGTCAGTGTGACAAGCGTAAAAGTCCTTAATCCAGACGATCCCTACGATGGTCCCGTTAAGACCAAAGAGAAGCGGCAAAAGCTATCCATCGATGATCTGGAGGCTGAGGAGGCTGCCGCCGAAGCATCGGTCAATCTCTCTAGCAATAATGGAGAATCCAAGGAAGATGGTGCAGAAGCAGTTACCACTGCTAATCCCTCTGTAATTGCCGAGCAACGAGTGAAGGTGGCGGATACCAACAAGTTTGCCGACCGCACGCATAACTGCGGCGAATTAACCTCCAATGATATCAACGAAAAAGTCGTCATATGCGGCTGGTTAGAGTTCCAGCGGATGAACAAATTCTTCATACTTCGGGATGCTTATGGACAAACTCAGGTACTGTTGTTACCGAAAACAGAGGGTCTTGAAGAATACGCAGAAACAGGCGTGCCCATTGAGTCAATTGTGCGAGTTGAAGGTACAGTGATACCCCGCCCAGCGGCCACAATAAACCCTAAAATGCAAACTGGACATGTTGAGGTAGAGGCGGATAAAGTGGTTGTTCTCAATCCGGCAAAGAAAAATCTTCCGTTTGAGATCCGAAAGTTCAATCGAGCTGGCGAACGTTTGCGGCTTACTCATCGGTATCTGGATCTGCGTTTTAATGATATGCAACATAATCTTCGACTTCGATCGGCTGTTATTATGAAAATGCGAGAGTATCTCATCAATTATTTGGGTTTCGTCGAAGTGGAGACACCGACGCTCTTCAGACGAACGCCAGGCGGAGCTCAGGAGTTTGTAGTACCCACTCGCAAAGCGGGACACTTTTACTCGCTCGTACAGAGTCCGCAGCAATTCAAGCAGATGCTGATGTCCGGTGGAATTGACAGATACTTCCAGGTGGCCCGTTGTTACAGGGATGAAGCGACGCGTCCAGATCGTCAGCCGGAGTTCACCCAACTGGATATAGAGCTATCTTTTACCAGTAGGGATGACATCATGCAACTGATTGAGGAAACCCTCCGTTATTCGTGGCCCAAAGATTTCCCGCGTCTGCAAACACCGTTCCGTCGTATTACTTACGAGGAGGCAATGGAAAAGTACGGAAATGACAAGCCGGACACTAGGTTTGGTTTTCTTTTAAACAATGTGTCGGAAATCATTGAAAAGAGTGATGATTTCAAAGAAAAATACGAGGATCTAGGCGCTTATGCCATTGTGGTACGAGCCAGTGAAGCCTTTTGGAATGGAGCTGCTCGAAAGCATTACGAAAGTCTAGGCAAGGAGTTCAAGGGTACGTTGTTCGTGCGTAAGTTTGGACCGACACAGGATGTACAGGAGAAACTTGGAAAGCTTTTAGGCGAAGATGTGGCTACCGAGATCGCCGATAAATTTGATCTTGAGGAGAACGATCTTCTTTTCTTGGGCATTGGTCCAAAAGTGGAAACGGTAAGCAATTTTCTAGTTATTTAAGTAAGATTTATAATTTTTTTTGTCTTTATCCGCCTACAGCGCGCAATATTGGGTCGCATCCGACTGGACTACCATGAGTTTCTGGTGGAGAATGCCAAAGTAAAGAAGCCTAATGACTTCCGTTTCCTGTGGGTGATTGATTTTCCATTGTTCGAGCGAAATCGTGAGACTAATCAGTTGGAGAGCGTTCACCACCCATTTACCCTGCCACATAGCGATGATCTGGATAACTTTGCCACTAGCTGCGAAAACCTGGAGAACATACGCTCCCAGGCTTACGATTTAGTGCTGAACGGCCAGGAAGTCGGAGGTGGTTCCATTCGCATCCATGATCGAGACATGCAGCACTTTATATTGGAACAGATACTGAAAATCCCACATGATCATTTGTCGCACTTACTAAGCGCATTGGAGTCAGGATGCCCGCCTCATGGCGGCATAGCATTGGGTTTGGATCGCTTGATTGCCATCTTATGCCGTGCGCGATCAATACGCGATGTGATTGCATTCCCCAAATCACTTAATGGGCGTGATCCGCTTTCAAACGCACCAGTTCCCATTTCCGATGAGGAGATGAGGCTGTACCACCTTTCTGTGGTTGAGGAGGAAGAGGCCAGCACAAATAACACATCACACGAACAGGAGGACGACGATCCCGATCAAGAACGTGCTCCTCCATCTCCGCTGTCGGCGACTAGCGAATCCGAGCAGCCGCAAATGGACGCGGACATCAAGAGAGAGCCAGAAGATCAAAAGGAGGATTTTGATCCCGAATCAGTGTCAGTCAAACCCCCAACCAAAGCGGCAGTAAAAGCTGATCCCGAAGAAAACCCACCAGCTGAGCCCGTTGCATCGGTGGCTGCTACGCCAACCAGAGCCAGAAGGACCGTCAAAAAGAAGGTCTAGGACGGGTGATTATTAACATTACGGATAACGAATTAGCATTTTACGTGTAAGCTATGTGGTCAGGGCGGAGGAAGGCAGCTGGCGGGCGCATTAGTAGGCCATTCGGATCGGGTTAATTAACGAACGAATCCCATTTTATACACACTGTTGTATACCAAAAAAAATATGTACCCACCATGGATCTTCACAACGGACTTCAATACCAGAATATAGGACCTAGGACAAACACTGTACCCTCACATCTTGACCCGAATGTCCTCATTCTACAAATCCATTTGAAATTATTATGGCAACAAATTTATTACAATTTACAAAATATACAAAACAGCTATTGTATTCGCGATTGTTTAATTATACAATGCTTGAATTACAGTATCCATTTGTTTCGGATTTTTGCAGATAATAATTGTTGTAATAGAACAGATTAAAACGAAATTCAACTCAACTAAAATTCCTTACTTAAATTCACAAAAGAGTATGCTTTCCACATCACGGATGTTTAATCTGTAAACATACAGCACGGGGTGTACAGACATTTGTATCCTTTTCTGATTTAGAACCATAATGATTTTATTTATATTGCATTATCTTCGTTTATGTTCAGTATAATCCAAATCGATTTACCTATTTATTTAGCTGGATAACCAATAAAATTCATTAAAAGGATGCCACGATGCTAAACATATTGCTCTCCAGATTTTGTATAAAGAAAATTAGGTTTTAAACATAATTTATTTTGTTCGCATTGTATTTGAAAATATGAATATAGACTTATGTGACTCTTATATATTAGTAAGGAATGGGGGCAAGGAAGGATTTTAAATAGCTTAGAACATCGAATGGGCTAATCCACAGTGGGCACGGCAAAGATGTTATTCTCCATGAATCCATATGTAAGATTTCTTCTGTAATCCCACCAGCTATGTGTGGGACGTGCCTGCGTAGCTATCTGGCGGTCGTCTGGCTCAACAAACTCCTCTGGTTCCTGCTCCTCCACAGAATCACCGTCACCGTCGCCGTCGCCATCGTTCTCTTTCTGTTCCGGACTGAAGCTCGTCCAATGCTCGTAGGGATCGTGCTCACTGGGCCACATCTGAAGGTTGTTGAAGTTGGCTGCCAGTTTGCCAAACTGATCGATGTGATGCAACAGGGGATCCACGCCTTGATTTGGAGGCGCCTTCAGTACCTGGGACGGAGCTCGCCAGTGTGGCTGCTTTGCGCCCAAAGTGGGCAGATCCGTCCACTTGCCCAGCGCAAATGGCGAACTGTCATTGGTGTCTATCATAAACATTCCTCTTGTGGTGGGCCGTATATTGTCGCCAGCTTCAAGCAAAAAGTTCGTTGGAGGACACATTCCCAAAAGGTAGGATATGTAGCCACTGCAGGCCCATCCCCAAAAACCCTTGGGTGAGCGGATGGATTCCAGGAAGTAGGCTGGAGCACGTTGGTGACTGCAGGCAAAGGAATCTGAGCAGCACAAACATGAATTAGAACACATAATTATTGAATATGCATACTATTATACTCACTAATTTTCTGTCCATTGCATCCCGGCTGCATGATTCCCCCATTCATGTAAAAATCCGCATGGCCACATCTCTCCATTTTCCCCTGGACCAATGCATTTGTGTGTATCACATCCACATAGCTGGCATCGCTAGGGTCCAGTTTATCCGCCGCGCCGGAGGTGATAAAAAGAGGCATGGCTGGATCCAATCCCGTAATCCTTGGCAGCATGAACGAACTCAAATTCCTGGCTATGTAGTTGGGCACTTGTGCTCCCAGTGAGAAACCTATCACATGGATATCCGTATTACCCGTCTCCACCAGGCGCTCCACCAACTGGGCTGTGCAGGTTCCAGCGTGTTTGGTGTTATGGACGGCACTTATGTAGCAGGGACCTGGTGACAGGATACTCCAGTCCACATATATGATGTTGTAGTCCGCTTTGGCCAGGTATTCTAGAAAATAGTTGCATTCTTTTATACAAGTTTTTGTGCATATTCCATCTGGGATACGAGAATATTGTTTTTATCCCCAAGGATATGTGAATCATATAAAACTGGCTGCTTTTTTTTTACTCACCCTCTCTCATCTGCTGCAGGGGATGTAGAAACATATCCGAGTTGTAGCCGTGGATGATAATCTTAGTGGGATATCGAGGGTTAAAGTAGGAGTCAGTCAGATTGGACTTCTCTAGGGACTCGTCTATGTGGAGGCACTGTCTGTCCATCGGATTGTGTCGCGTGTAAATGTAATACTTGACATCCGGATCCGGACAACTTCGACCTATAGCCCATTTGCACGGACCGATGGTGATGTCCCTATTCGTGGCTGTTGTTGTGGGTGGAGGTGTGGGTGTGGGATTAGTAGTTCCCTCGGTGGTGCTCTCATCCTCAAGTTGAATGGGAATAGGTTTTAGATTTAGAAATCCCTTTCCGATAGTCTCCCGGCCGAAGCTGGCTAAAAGTTATCTTTGACTAAATGAATAAACTTATAAGCCATTGGATTTACCCACCGAGAAGCAGCAAAGCAATGACAAATCGCCAGTGCATTTTGCAATCTGGAAACTCGAACCACCTGTAGTTCCGATTAGTTTGAAACACCAAACGAATTCCTTGGCCAGTTTTGCGAAGCGTTCGGTCTGAAAACGTTGGAGAAACTAAGAGCCGGCTGGTCGAGTCAAGGCGATTGTGGCCAAATTATAATGAGATATGCAAATGAGTGAGTACTTTTGATGGTGTGATTGAGTGTGGCAATAAAGTGAGAGTTGCGGGTGGAAAAGTGAAACCGACTTAAGAATTTTAGGCGTCATATGTAAGTTATTTCAAGGGGACTCAAATAAATGTAGTGCAAATTGTTTTGTGAGTCTTCATGTGTAACGATTCAAGCGCTTTATCTTTCACGAATTCAGAAGTCTTTATGATTTGTTTATAATTTTTGAGAAAAACTCATAAATGCATTAACACAACACTTACTCACTCAACGACACGCACTCATAGACGAGAAATACACTTACCTACGTGATTGCGTTTTTAATTAGCAACGTTTACTGAATGAAAACTTTTTGTTATTATCACCAGCGATCTTGGCCCACGTACAAAGGCGAATGCTCGCAGGCCTCTTAAATTTATAGGAATCATGTCTTACGGATAACCTTATATCTTACGAATTATTATTGACTCGCTCTGGTTCTGAAGACCCACATAGATTACTAGGGATACTTCCCGACCCGGGTCAATGAAAACAAACTAGAATGAGGTATGTATTTTCACTTAAGTGGGCAAATAACCAATTTAAATATAAGTACATTAACTGGAGCTTTCTTTATGGCCGTTGTGTAGCAAGCAATAAATATTTGCAAAGATTTTCACAGTTCGAATATTTGCTTTTCTGCTCTGGAATTGTTTTCGATGCCTTTGCGGTTTATTACCGGTACGTGTGTCTAGACGCCCACGATTTTCCTCTCGAAATCCACTCGGAACGGACTTATAATATATTATATTGATGATACATATGTGCATGCCAATTTGCTGCTATATGGAATGTCAAACAAAATGCGTATAAATGGCTAGATGGAAAGACATTTCCCGCCTGTGTCTTTAAATGACCGACATGTGGGCAATATTGTCAAATTCATTAAAATTTGAATAGCTAATCTTCATATGTAAAAACTATAAAACTTGTGGGCGGTTGCGTTTGTTTGAACCATTTTTTAATAGGCCATTTTGATACAGAATGTTGATGGCAAGTATATTCTAACGTGTAAATTTCAGTTTTTATTTTCTATTTATTTCTAATATTTCTACATTTCAAATTGAAACTTAAAATTTGAGACATCAAGTAAGTGGCTTTTCACACATATTGATCATGCATCTGGATGGGGGATTCATGGCCTTCTCGGCTCCGCACTTGAAGGCCTCCTGGAACTCAGGAAGATTCATGTAGCCCCTATTCAATTGGGCGGCGAATATCTCCGTGCGGCGGTTGCATAGCTGCTGGGCCACTGCATAGAAGAGTACCCTTTGCGGATCCAATCCGAAGTATTGCAGCACAAAGGTCTCCGCAAAGGCGAACCTTTCACCCTGAAGCCAAAAGTTATAATCCCTGAGGGAGTACTGAAAGGAGCGATAGAACTGGAAGATCTCACCGATCTCGTGCGAACCAAGTGGTCTGTATATAGGAGCTAATTTTGCATCGTAGTGTTGCAGTGATTGCATTTCTAGGCAGTCCATGGCGGCAAAGTGGCCATCGGTGTCCAAGAGAAGCCGGGATTCCCTCCAAAGTTGCAAGCCTTGTGTGGCATAATAGTGATAAGTGGGGCGGTGCAGGGAAAGCAGCACAAAATGGAGAAAATGTCTCAGGAAATAGGCTGGCTGATTTACATCCTCCTCGTCCACATACGGCGAAACAAAACTATGACGCAGTTGGGCCCTTCTGAGGATCAGGAGATTTCCATAGAAGGAGTGCTTTACGAATCCCAATCCTCCGTAGTGTTCGTTTAGTTCTGTAATATTCAGATAGTTTTCTGCATGATTTTGAAGAATGCGTGCCACCTGAAGCTCCTTTTTCTCCACCGAAGCTGGCCACAGGTGTCCAAACCAGTCTCTCCTGGACAACTTGGATCTCCTAAGTTTCTGGAAGAGAGTGGTATGAAGTTGATAGGACGCTAGAGCGACTTCCCTGCTCAGCTGGGGTCTCAAAACATGCCATTGCCAATATTCCGCGTGCAGTAAACGCTCGAACTCCTCAGATACCCTGTAGCAATCGGGATATCGAAGCTGCTCCCTGGCCTGCCACATCACATAGTTGTACACTATGCGCGGTTCCGTTTGCCTGAGAACTTCCCAGCCTTGAGTGATCTTCTCGACATCTAGCAGAAACTTGCGTGCTCCCACCAGCCGCTCTTCGGTGAAGTTTAGTGCGGCGAAATACTGCTGAAAATAGTCCATGGTGTTTTCATCCAGGAGCAGCTGGTCCTCACTTGGTCTGGAGCTGGTGGCTTTGGCATGCCTGCTCAAGCTTCTTACGAGTGGCAGTTCTCCTCTCATTGCGCGACACAGGACCCTCATCTCGTGTGATATTATGCGGGGTACTTGATGATGTCGACCTTCCCAGACATCAGATAGGCTAGATTGGAAGTCCGCGAGACTGGGACAGGGCAGCTCATCCATGGGACTCACATAAATCGTGTCCATGGCGAAATAGATGTCAAGTAGCGTGGGTACGCCATGGGCCAAAAGTTGAGCTGACAGAACTATCCAATTCAGCTGCCCATTAAGGCTCCTACGCTCCCATTGATGGCTGAGGAAAGGCCAGGCAGAGAGCACATCTCTATGTCTGGCCAGGAATGGAATCTCCGCCAGCATACGTTCCCAATGGGTTGCCACACGACTGGGGGTAAAAACATTCCGTTCTCCCCTCTTGCGGCATTCCCCATAAAGTTGAGAAATCAGCCGTCCTGGTATAGTTTCAAAATTTCCAACCTCAGCCGCAAAGAAGTTCATTCTGTCCTGTTTGTTATACAAATAAGGTGGAAGGAAATCATCTGGATTCTCCTCCTTCGCTTGGTCGAAGTTTCCACAAGCATGTGCATAGAAGTCATCGCACGGATCCATTGAGTCATTCTTCATTTTTACCAACTGCTGCAAGTTGCTTTTGTACAAATGGCTAAAAAACTGGCCCGATTCCACCTCCGATTCCACCTCCGTTTCCACTTCCGCATCTGAGCCCGCATCTTCCTCATTCTGAGACCTCACTACTTGAATAATAGCGAATAAAACAAGCTGAAGCTTCCAGCGCATTTGGTGTATATTTTATTGTGATCCGCTCGTTTGTTTTGTTCCACGAAAACTGCGCAAAATCGTGCTCAGAATTCCTCCCTAATGACTTGATAAGCCACGGAAGCTGCGGATTTAGCTATATATTCTCGATTCTATCAAAGTTCCAGTTCTCTTTGCGCTCTTTAATGGATCTCGCCTTGAACTTAAAGATCTTTGCTGTCCGTTTTGCCCTACATCGCCTTCTAATGCAATAGTTTCATAATGATTTAGCTTTCGTTTCAAGCGTGCATGTAAAATCGGTTTTTACCAATTTTGGACATGCGAATTTCATGTAAATATCACGTATATATATCTGTTGGTGTAGTGTCTATCCCAAAAATTATCCACAATGTGCCTAACAAATATTGCGCATACGCAATGTGGTCACAGCTGCATTAGCTCAACCAAAAAACCCTAATCTATGAGGTCGAGTTTTAATTTTTTTTATTTCATTAATGTTTCAGTTGATCTACATGAAATAATTATCTTGGTCATTATTTATATATATTCTTGTGTCAAGCCATTTTGTTTTTTTTTGCCATTTGCGCAGTGCATTTTCAAATTGACTTAATGACAAGTGTCAGCTTAGGGAAAGTGTGTGTTTTTTTAGAAAAGTCAAGGACCCGAAATGTGTGACAGTTGTTTATGAACATTTTTGGCTGTTATTTATATGTCAACAGACCATATGATTGGAGGTTTAAGGAGGTGTGGCGATGTAGAATACGCCTTGTGCTTCTCAGTTAAGAAGGTATTAGGCAGAAAGGATTTACGTACGCCAAGTTGAATCTTACGCATATATTTGAAAGGAAATATATATAAATGACATAAACATGCAGTGCTATTTCTAATTCAAACGAAGAAGCTTGTAGATACCATGCCAAATTTAAACCTCATGTTTTTAGTGCCTTTGCACTTGCGGAAATTCCAAAATGCTGTCAATACTTTCGAGGGAAATGTTCCGAAAAATGGAACAAGCCATATACTAGATGTCAAAATTATTTTTAATGAGCGTATTGTTATTGTTGGTGATTTGGCTTCAGATCCGGCCAACGGCTGCTGAAAAACTGTCAAAAGGCGCGCAGCAAATTTATTATATTTATTTTCGATGTTATTTCTACGCGACTTTCCAAAAAGTCTGCACTTGCCGCCCTGGTAGTGGCGTCTCATTTTGACCAATGGGACAAAATATTTCTCTACATGTATATCCAAAAGCACGACCACACGCTCACCAATCTATATCCACTTGTCAGATCTGCTCCAACTGCTTGTGTATGGATGCTTGCAGATCGCAAAGTATTTCATCTATATCCCAATTGGTGGACGGGCCAACAGTTTTAGTTGAGCCAAAGGCTTTCAGCAGTTAATAGCGCAAAATTGTGTCTTTCCCCAGCGGACAAAAAAGCAAGGTAAAACGCAGTAGACAAGTGAAGTGATACAAAATAGTGGTAGTTTCAGAATCGAAGTCAAGTGTGTCGGGTTCGTAAATATATCCGCAGCCGATTCTTTTCAATTTTTTTCTATTGGAACCGTTCCAACCTATAAAACTGGAATTATTTCAATCTATATAGACATACGGTTCTTCGATTGCTCTATCAGAAAATCAAAGAGCACAGAAACATTATATAGATGTAGCCAGACAAAGACGAAGGAAAAGAAAAATTTAATACTTTCCATATGGCTTTCATATCTGTCGTCTTTATATAAAATTTTTTACGAATACCATTGAATTTTATTTGATTAGATTATTTTGAAAGAAAATCATATGTGCTGCGCGAAAATTTATTGCCGCCTTTTTTATGTTTCTACGAAGATAAACTTCTCACGCGCCAAATAAAATATATTTAATGTATAAGTAATCCGAAAATAGGGACAAGTAATAATAAGTCAACTCTTTATCTGCAGCAAATTCAATCAAGATGAGCGAAGCCCGTAACTTGTTCACCACCTTTGGCATCCTGGCCATCCTGCTTTTCTTCCTTTACCTCATCTATGCCGTATTGTAAAATGTTTCCGGCAAGTAGATGGTCCTTAGCGGAACAAAAGGTAAGACAAAAGGCGTTCTAATAGATTTAAGGGTAGATTAAGGTAGCTAGTAAATACAAAATATGGCGAAAATACTTTTGTGCTGTAAGCAATATTTGCTTCAATGTACAGCATTTCGATTACCCCATTTTCCCATTGAATTTGATCGAGATAAATCCACATCAATCACGAACCTTGAAATAGTAATTGAGGCCAAAATGTGCCATAAACTCAATGAGGACTACGTGATTATTCAAGATTCTTTCAATATTTGCAAACGTTTTAAGGCAACAGATTCGCCAAACGTACAACTAAGAAATAAAGTAAATAAATATGTTAATCAAGCACACAACTGGAGAAGAGAACATCTTCGCCAGCAAAAAAACCAAACCAACCAAAAAATAAATAAACAAAACATTTTTCAAATGACAAGGTCCAGTCGGGCAGAAGCAATTTGTCTAGGTGTAGTCCAGCAGATGAATAATGTTCAAAGACCACAGAAAATTGGCTAGAATCGCATGGAATTCAAATATATATATATGTATATATCTCTAATATGCAGAGCGGGCTCGTATGTAGATATACAGATCTAGAAAATATTTGTGCCGCGTCTAAAATATTAGCAACAACTGGACTCACATACAATCAAATGGCCGGTGATACATACATAAATATAAATGATTTTTTATATATCGTCTATATAATCGGATCTATATGAATGGGTGCGTGCGCCCAGGCGATAGCCATAATTCCAAGCGCTGGCCAACTTTTTGTGGAGAAGTGGAATTCAGATCGGGAAATTCAGTTATTGCGCGCCTTTAGCTACGAACGGTTGGAAATCTCTTGGAGCAATTAAGAAAATCCCATCGATCCATCTAAATCCGTCTTATCCCCAATAGCCAGCAGCCAAATCAAACCAATCAACATGAATGAGGCCAAAAGTTTGTTCACCACCTTCCTCATCCTGGCCTTCCTGCTGTTCCTGCTCTACGCCTTCTACGAAGCCGCCTTCTAGGCCCACATCCCCACCATGATCACCATGACCACCAGTACCACCACCCATCACCCACCATCAAGAATAGCTTACATGTTGAATTTCAATTCCAAGCCGCCGGCCATGCCATCATCTTGTGGTGCGGTGGAGCTTCTAGGACCCTACGCGTTTAAGATGTTTAGCATTTAATGGATTTCTACTAGTAACCTAAGCCAGGTGAGCACTCAACCCGCTGCCAATTAAATCAATTATCAAACGCACACATCAAATAAATTAACGAAACACACCCTCGACGGCCAAGAAAAACCAAAACCTTGAATACATTTTTTGGCAGCCATTTGGCGATGCTCGCGTTAATAAATAGACTTTCCGTTTCTATTTTTTAACGACAAGATTTCGACATGGCCCACTAAACACCTTCCTGTCGTCACAGCCCCCCGTCATTTGGAAGCATTCAAAATCATTTTCACATGGCGTTTTCCGAATGTCGCAACTTTGTGATTCAAAATGATTTTCGCCCGAATAATATGCCTCCCAGTGCAAAAGCACAAAAAATGTTCAAAGCGACAGTTTTTTATGGCCTGAATTTATGATTGGCGAAGGTGGAAATTATAATTAATTTTCATTAAATGTTTTTGCATATTTCAAGCACAACTATTCGAGTATAGAGCGCTATTTTCGAGAAAGTCCAATGCTTTCAAAGACCCAAAAATAAATCTCTAAGAAGCTTATGTAGTCCGAAACAAAAAAGTGCCAGCAATTGTTTATGCCAATGCGGCCACTTGAGCAAACCAAAAACTGGAATAATACATTTTATCAATTGCTGGGAATGATTCTTCTATTGCAATAAATAAATCGAACACTGTTATAAAATAAATGTTTCAATAAATTCAGATGACGTCAATGCCACCAGTTGCCAAAATCGGAGGACGGATCAGGAGGAGCACATTGATGGGTAACCCCTGCCAAGTGGTAAGTATCATTTATTCGGATCCCCTGGGTTGCGCTTCAATTAAATATTTTCGCAAATATTTATCCGTTTGTTTTTTCACAGTGCTCTGCCACATTTCTTCCATCTTTGAGGCGCCGCAGGATCGATTTGTTTTGAAAACTTTGCTGTCGGCCTTGGCGTCATCTGCTCTAATCATAAATATATAGTTTTGTGATCTTTATTATTTTTGTTCGGCAATGGAATCTACTTAGTTTGCAATTCATAGACCATGATGTACAGTATAAGCAAATTAAGAACAACATCAGCAATCAATGTGAACCATCGATAATTGGTTATTTCATTGTTAGACAATCACGTTTATTTCGCACTCGTACTTATTAAGACATGCATAATGTGTAACTGCATTTTACTCGACTTTTCTTAAATAACTTGTGAATAACAACCGCAAAAACAGCAACAACAACTGCAGGAATAAAAACACAAAAACCAAACTATTTATTAGCTTATTCTTTTATTGCGTAAAATGGGCGGCTCTTACTTATAATAATCAAGAATCAATGCAATGATATATTGGCATATAATGAAATTATAAATTTTATTTATAAATATTTTAATTTATAAATTATGAACATTGTGGGGCGAACTTAAAGCTATTATTTATCAGGCATACTTTTAGGCTTACTTGAATCTTGAATCGGTAAAAATACCGAATTACCGATTGGTGTGTTTGTTCGTGAGCAACTAGACAAAAAATACACAAATATTTCTGAAATTTAATGAAACGAATAGAATACTGTAACAATAATAAAACAAGATTTCATTTCAGCTTAAACTGATTAAAAGAATTTATTTAGTATACTTAAACTTTTCTGAGGAGCACCGCTCTGTTGCGTTGCTTTGGAGAGAAATCCGTGAGTCACTCGATTGGATCATGCACCCGGCAGTCGAACTGAACTGCACAGCGAAAAGATAGTCGGTGCGTGGATTTTCCAGCGAAATGCCGAGAGATTCGAGCTGTCCCAACTGCGATTCGCAGTCCATGGTGTGGAAACGTCGTTTGACTATCTCGCGGTTCAAGAAGTTGAAGATGGATTTTTGGTACTTGAGTATACAAGTGTACATGCAGATATTACTTCCAAATCAACTGAAATGTGCTTATTTGTTAGTGCCCTGTGCTGCTGTCGTCGATATTGTGGAGTCGGCATCTATAAGACCTATTTCAAATGCAGTTCCTGTGGCTGGAAGGGCAATCCTAACCGATCTCACTAAGATGCCAAGCCTATGTACTTGCATATCTCATTTATAAATAAAAACGCAATTCTATTTCAACATACATTACAGTCAGCTGTTGCATTTCGCGTCTGCTGTTTACCACACAGTGGAGCTGAATGAATGCGAAAAGCTTTCGAGCTTTGGGAGTACACTTTGAAAAATGACTTACGCTCAAATAATTAATAATAATAATAACAATACGGAAAATAGTTGCTCCCTTCCGTGATTGAATATAGCAATAGCCATATGGCTATATGATTCATTCTCCGAGCGATTTCTTTACCGGCATCTTACAATGGTACATAAATATATGCACATAATATGTATGTCAAACCTTGTTGATAACAGGGGGCCTTATCAGCTTAGCTTGGACTTTTCACAGAATTCGGGAGTAGCGTTTGGAGGGTCCGTAAGTGGCTCATTGATGGAGCTTAGTTCTGAAAAGATGCCGTTCGATAGAAAACCAGCTTTCAAAACGCGCTCCTCGGAGGTTTACAGGAGTTTATCCGAACCGACGGCTACAAATCCGAGTTCAGACGCGAGAGATACTTCCCAAGTATGCCTAAATTCTGAGGACCTAAAGTTGTCTTGGGGCCAAAGATTTTGGTTTAGTGTGCGGTATGGTGCTTAAGCTGAGATTGCCTTTGTCGAGATCAAATACAGTTTCATAATTAACTAATTTCAGGTCCTTTTGTTGCTGCGGAAAACCCGTAAAATGAATATGCTGAATGAATACAATACAAATCCAAAAACTATTGAGTGTTTTAAAAAAAGTTAATAATGGTATTTTGATTGAAATGTATGTATAACATTATTTATAAAATGATTAAATATAATGTCATACCTGCGTTTGACTCAGCACATTCTTATCTGTATTGCAAATGCTCTGCACGCGAAAAAGGTCAAATGTATATTTTTTTGAATAATATAAATATAAATATTTCAAACAGGCATACCTGCATTAAAGTGTAGATTCAGGAGACATGTAGAAACTTTCAGTTGCAGTATTTGGGGCTGCGGCTTTCCTAGTTAATTGCACCAGAAATCAATTGAACTTCTATTAAATCTCGCTTTCAAAGAATTAAGTTGTTTGACTTCGTTTGCGCTCAGCGCAATGCAAACAAGATACAAGATATAAAGCTACGAAAAAGAGCTTTTGCCAGCAACATTGTTGCGCAACATCAGTGACTCGCCAGTCAGAGAGTGAAACGCGAGACTTGGACTCGGTTTCAGTTCGCGATTGCCAACCAGACGAAGATGCAGTACAATCAGCAACCACCGGGAGCCACGGGCTATCCCCCCCACCAGGTGCCACCACCCAGCTACGAGCAGGTGGTGCACGTGCAGGCGCCAATTCGGGTGGTTCACTCGCCAGCCCCGCCGCCCGTGGTGATCATACAACGTGGGTTTAGCTGAATATGGAAAAATATATATGCATGACAATGACTTACAGATCAGACCGTATTGCCGGTGGGTCCGGATCCCACCTTCATCACCTGCCCGCACTGCCATGTCCAGAAGCTGACCCGCGTGCAGTACTCGCCCAGTGTGAAAACGCACTGCATGGCCGCCATTCTGTGCATCGTTGGGTAAGATCTCCAGATTTTCACCTGCGCAGTGCTCCCATCTTATCTAATCTCTGGAAAATCCCAAACAGCCTCTGGTGCTGTGCCTGCCTGCCCTACTGCGCCACCAGCTGCATGAACGCCAATCACTTTTGCGGCAATTGCAACAAGTTCGTCGGCGTCTACAACAGCGATTAGAAATGCCAGTAACGCCAGAAGTAAACAGAACCAAACGAACCCAACCAAATCGAACCGATCACCGCTCCTCACCGATCATAGTTCATCGATCATCGACCACCGCTCACAACCTCACACATGCAAGTATCATCAACGAATGCGAACATTTTCGGCCAGGTGTCGACAGACCGACAGCTATACGATGAAATTCCCCCAAATGGGGTAAACAATCGGGCCGGCAAGCTTTGGCTTTACTTGATAAGAATACGCGATACGAAACACACTTTTTTCCACGGCGCTCCCTTGAGTCATTTTCCAGCGATTCACACACCCAGTTGGGCCCAAGACACCATGGATCCCGTCTATCCAGCTGCGCCCTTGGTGGCGCCCAAGGGATACGTCGAGCTGCAGTCCGTCCCTGAGCAGCAGCACCTTCTGCCAGCGGCGCCACCCAGCTACGACCAGGCCACAACCATTCCGGCGGAAACCACGGGACCGGGACCAGCTCCAGGTCCATCTCCAGCGCCAGCCACCACCACCAGTACCCAGCACACGGTCGTCGTGGTGCCCGGTTCACCCTACGGCCCGGAGCCCATGGACGTACAGTGTCCGTACTGCCACAACTTCGCCCGGACACGGGTCTCCTTCAAGCCCAACTCGCGCACCCATCTGATAGCCTTGATATTGTGCCTGTTCCAGTAAGTACCCGGAGTAGATAACGTGGTGTGTGGGTAGCCAACTTTGTGCACGCGAAGCGGCAAAAGCTCCATTTAATCCGAAAAATTATGACATAAAATCGCCAACTTCTACGCCCTACAAGTATGTGCTCTATAATATTGTCACATTCTGAACACAACACACATACAGTGAAGTTTGTTATTGTTATTTATTGTTATCTATATACATATGTACATATGTAAATGGCAGTAATAATCAACAGCTCTGCAGTAATCAAGTGGAATAGACCTTAGCTGTTTGTCACAATCCACTTGGCGATGACTCACTACCTCTTCTTTTATTGCCCACAGGTTGTACTGCTGCGTGTGCCTGCCGTATTGCATTGCCAGTTGCATGAGCATCAATCACTACTGTGGCATGTGCGATCGCTATTTGGGCACCTACGATCGCAAGTAGGAGACCAAGAATTTCGGGGCTACCTGTTCATGTGTACACATTTTCTTCAAGTAATTAGTTAATAAATGGACTGCAGCACGCAATGCGAACTAAAGCGAAGTATTTCGTCATTACCAGTGACGCTTTAAAGTTTTAAAGTGGCACGGAACTACATTTTTGTGTTAGGGGAATTAGCCCATTTTCAGATATTGTTTGTAAGCAATAAACAAAATGTTAAATGTAACTATAAATACAGTTTTTCTCAATTCTGCCAAAAAACAAAACCAAAGTCAAACTGGTATTATTAGCTCATGCTAATTTAAGTTATTTAGGGCAGTTATTTTTAAGTCATTTTTTGGTTCGATTTCGCTGCAGAAAGCTCTTTGGCTTAATGTTTAATTGTGCACTTCTAACTTTAACGCCCTTGAATGCCTTCATAGCTCGCGTATTTACCCAAAGCCCAACTAATTACTGGCCATGCTGAAGTGCTATCTGTATCTTTATCGGATATCCTATTCTCCTACCTGAGATAAGTTGGATAAACAAAGCCGTTCACTGTGTGCATTAGATAAAGCTCGGTAAACACCATGCGAGAGATACTTTCGGTTTTGCAACAGCCCCAAAATGATTGCTCAACCGGATGGGAGCTTTCCAAGCTCGCTCCGCTCCGATCCGAGCCGAAAAAACTTGAATGCGATTCAGAAACTGAATCTCTACCTGGATACAAATCCGCTGGCAGTTGCGAGCGGCGATCGAAGTGCAAAAGACGCCGTCTACTTGTAAATACGCAGAGTAAACGGAAACCTGAATCTCTTAGTAACGTTTATAAACCGAAAACAATACCCGAACTTCGCACTCGTGCAGGGGTTTCATACTGCGTTAGCCATGGATCAGAAGCGAGCCATGCTTTATCCGCAAATGGATTTCGACACCCCCACTGCCCCCTCGGCGACGCCAACGCGGGAGCTGGGCAGTCCCATCGCCAACGGCCTGCCCATCGAGGCTCCGCCATCGTACGATGTGGCGGTGTCCGTTCCGGTGGCTCCAGCGGTTTCCGCACCAGCAGTTGCCCCAGCGCGACCGCCGCCAGTGGTCGTCGTGGAGCAGCCAGCCCCACAACCACCCACAGTGGTGCCAACAGGTGTGTAGTTGATACGTAGCTACAGTTTGGTTGTGCAGCTCTTCTGACGTCACGCCCTGCTATTGCAGATACTCTACACTTGGGTCCAAACCGAAGTAGGGTTCTCTGCCCCGCCTGTGGAGCTAACAAAACCACGAGGATGACGCACACGGCTAACTCCAGGACCCATATGGTTGCAGGTCTCCTCTGTTTGGTCGGGTATGTTGTATATTACGGTTGTCTATCAAATAATGATTTATATCTTGGTATTTTTTGCTCTTTAAAGATTTTGCTGCTGCGCCTGTTTTGTTCCCTATTGCATGAACAGTTGCCGCACGGGAAATCACTATTGTCGCAAGTGCAACACTTTCCTGGGAGCCTACAATCCAAAAGGGATGAACCGATGATAAGACTGCCAAGATAAGAAGTGATCTGGGCGCTAGAAAGATAGAACAGATACAAGTTATAAGCAAACACAAAGCAGCTGATGTTTGCCAGCGGATAAATTATGGTTGTATGTACAGAAGCCATTGGCTAGAACGCAAAGCGTCGAAAAGAATCATTGGTTATTTAAGCATATGTGAGATAGCTTAAAAAAAATTGTATAAGTTTCCCAAATTCTGCTTTGCCCATAAGCACTATAGTAAACATAAGCAAAACCGCTTACCTTCCCATTGTTGCTGAAGCAGCTGGCCTTTGGCTGGCTAAAAAAATAAATGCGTGGGCGAAAGCTTCATAATAAAATGCAAACAAGAAGCAATGACAGGCCATATTTCAAAATAAAACTATTTTGGCGCCCAAGCGGATAGAGTTGCCACATTAACACCGAACGCTGGCCAACACTGGCGGCGCGCTACTATCGAAATATCGATAGCCTGGCATTGAGCACTTTTACGATACGGCAATGTTGCCGCAGCCAAAAAGACAATTGCAGAAAGTTTTTTTCACAACAAAAAGCCAACGAAAACGCTCGATTTAAGCAACAAATGCGTGCCAAAAGCGCAGCGAATCTCCACTGAGGCCACCGTGTGTGCGTGGGCGTGGCATAGGTGCGGGCAGAGCAGCCAAACATCACAGGAACACGGCCAGCAGCAGCAGCGCAGCAGCAGAGGGGCGGGCAGAGGCAGAGGCGGCGGCAGAGGGAAAAGTCGGGCATTTTCATTGGATTCGTTTTGGTCCGATTCGATTGGATTGTGGTTACTCCAGCGGCGCCCAGGCGTTCCTCCTCTCCTCCTGTATTATGGACAAGAAATCCTCGCCGGTGCGACGACAAAAGCGGCAGGCGAAGGTGATCGAGGAGAACTTCTGGGACTGCAGCGTCTGCACATATAGAAACTCGGCGGAGGCCTTCAAGTGTCGCATGTGCGACGTGCGGAAAGGTGAGTGACCCCGATTTTGCTTCGGTTTCGCTTCCGAGTCTCAAGATTGCCCAGATTGCCAGGTGTTGTGCGAGCGATTTGTTTATCCTTCTGCAAGGATACACACTGATTTACGCACACATCAGCATCAGCATTGGGATATATCAGGCTGATTTGTATTTGATAGATATAAGTAATAGTCAAACAAATACTGTTGGCTTCTAATGATAGTCATCGATGGTATCGATTTGTTTACGTAGAATAAATACATTCACATTGCACAGCAAAGCTAATACTTTTCGAAAACACTGAACTTAAACTTAACTAGAATAAGGAGTATAGAACGCTTCTGCTTGAAGTCTGGTGCACTAACACTGTACAACTTTGTTTTTAGGAACCTCCACGCGAAAGCCACGCCTGAACTCAGCGCTAGTCGCCCAGCAGGCCGCCACTTTGCCGGGAGCCAGTGCCAACATGCCCAACGGGAAGTCTGCATCCGGATCACGGCATGGCAGCGGGCACGACCGGCAGAGGCACAAGCGGTACCCGGCACGCTTGAAAAACGTGGACCGATCGACGGCACAGACGCGAGAGGTGACGGTCAACTCGGTGACCGTGTTCATCACAGAGTACAAGGCCAAGCCGGTGAGCAGCCGACGCGAGTCCAGTGAGCAGAGCTTCAGCGAGAGCAACGACAGCCGGAGTTAGAGGAGGCTAGAGGATACCAGGCCTCCTCGCAACCAGCTCCCCAATATTCTACGCCACGGTTCCCGGTCCCCTGTTACAAGTTGTAAATTCTAAGTGTTAGGCCGCTGGCGATAACCATTGTAAATCGAAATCCATTTAAGTTACCAAGTATTAGGCCACGTTTAAAGCCCCGAAAGCCAAGCCCCCACTAGTTCATGACTTCCAGCCCAGGCCAAGATGGCAAAGCAAAGCGAAGCGACGGCGAGTCGATTGCATTTACACGACGCTCTCCAAATCCCATTTTAAAATGCGCTAGACCCTGTAAATAGCGATGCATGAGTTCCCTGAATATCTCTGTCTCGTATCGTAATTTTAGTTGTAATTTAATTCTGCTACTCTAATTCCTAATTTATTGATGCAAAGGTAACTATGTTTAACCGCCGTGTACATGTTCAACAAAGATATCATTTGTTTTGTAAGTGTCGAATTAAAATATGGTTTAACTAAGTGCAAGTTAATCTCAATATTCCGCTAGCAGCGCCCATCCCACACATGGTTTGTGTAACTATTATAAACTGTACCCTTTTTTTTGACTAGAAAATGCTGCTTGACAACGAAGTGTAGCGAGGAGAGAGCCACGTAGCTTGGTTGTAGACAATTTGCTAATTTTAATTTGTTTGTATACAAGACTGATTAAGCGTTACCAACCAGATATATAGAGGCCCGCACACGCACCCAGCCGAGTCCGATTTTCCTTTTGGTTTACACCCAAGATAGCTTCCCAGCAAACAATAGACGAATACTCGAACTCGCAAAAAGAGAATTTTGTACTTAGCAGAGCTTAAACGCTCTTCCACCATAGCAATAATTACTTAGCAAACAATGAAAAAGTATGAATTTTGATATGAACGATTGTATTTAATATTGGATAACGGATATAATGGTTTATAAAGTGCTTGATATTTGTATTTTGAGATAGATTATTTAGCCACACACGAACACTTACACACACACACACACTCCTCGATACTGCCGACTGTAGTCAGGAAAGAACTTCCAATAGACAAACTTCAATTTGGATTATCGTAAACATTTACAATTAATATGAACAGTTTGTATTCCAAATGCTTGGCCAGTTGAGCATTAATCAACAGCAACGACAAAGACAAGGACAAAACTTAAGCAAACGCAATTAAAGCCGCACTCAACTCACACGACCACACGGATAGTTAAAACTTGAATTCCAATTGTAAAGCGTAAACTTTTAAAGCATTATAAAATACATTAAATAAATTTCGAAAACGCTATTCCAAGGAGTCGTTGTCTTCTCTCCCGCCTTAAGAGTTCAGTTTAATATTTTTTATTTGGGCTTATCCAACTTGCTAAACTTTTGTTGCCAACTTTTATTTTTTGATTCTTTTTATGGCTGACATTCGGCTTAAACTTTAAAGGTCTTTAAAGAGCAAGGCAGCAGCGCGAACCACCCCGGCTGGATGCCAGTACATCCACCGTTTGCCAGGACCCAGGACCACCCACGCGTCGCGTTTCCACCTCCACCTCCTCCTCCCCCTCCTCCTCCAGCATAACCCTAAGTGTGTGTGCGAGTGTGCCGTGCTCTGTGTTCCGGACGGAGGGGGGTTCGGAGCCCGAGCACCATCTGTATCTGTATCTGAGTATCTGCTTACGCGTGCTCCCGGCCTCCAGTTTTCGGGCCTCAGATCAGAGCAGTGCTGCTGCCAGAGTTTCGGTTTCAGATGCACGCGGGAAATCGGGAACAGGAGATGGGGCTCGAGCTGGAGCTGTAGCCGGAGCCGGAGCTGGAGCCACCGTCTCTGGTCGATGGCTACGCCTTTGGCAGCTGCCTCAACTTTTCGCACAGAGCCGGAGCACATCGCACGCTTCGCAAATAAATTACAAATTGTTTCGTTCCAGCTATGCTGCCACAGTCCAACTTGCCTAACTTCAACCGGCCTGTTTTCATGTATTCCTAGATGCCTATTAAGCCGCCGCTGTTCTCTAATTGTTAAGCTGGTTACAAATTGGCACACATATGTATATAACACTTTCAAATAAGCAAGTACTTTTCATTTCATTAAAACTTAAATCGTTTGTTCTTAATGCTTTATAGCCTACCAGCAAAATACAATTTTTCAAATATATTTAAATATTTTTAATATAACACAAGAAGGCAGAGTTCCTGAATTCGCTCACAACAAGTGCACCGAAGGAAGCTTGACTGTACCCACATACATACACACCCGATTTCATCCGCATCCCACACCCACCGGCCTTCGCGCAATTCGCTTCAGACTTCTAGCTCGGCGCTCGGAGCTCTCGTCGTTCGTATTTTCTCTAAAATGTTAAAATTCACAGGACCTCCCGGCATGCCACCCCCCATTTTCCATCCCTCTAGTTGCGACCCACAGGCGGCAGCAGGACCTGCGTTATCAGCGCCACACTCTGTGCGCTTATCTTCCATGTGCGCTTCGTTCTTGGGCTCCAGCTCCAGCTCCAGCTACAGCTACAGCTCCTCGTCCATCGTGCTCCGTGGCCCTCCGCCTTCTTATCCGTTTGTTTGTCCGTGCTTCCGCCTCATCTGTGCGACCGTCCGCACATCCTGTGCCACCCAACCGGTCCTGGCCCCCTCCACCTTCGTCCCGTGTCCTTGTGTGTAGTGGGAAAATGCTCGTTTTGCTCGCAGGAGCGAGAGGAAAACAGCAAAATCAACGTTGCAGCATTTGGAAAATGTTAAAAACTCCTTGCTGCTGCCGGGCATTGCTTTCGCATGACGCATACGCCGCGTTGTCCAGCTTGAGGATCGCCTGGCATGTCATGGGGTGGGACTGGTAATCTTCGCAAGTAACTTGAGCACTTTATGGCACAACGCGCACGTGTGTGTCTAAATCTGTACGTGTGTGTGTGTGCGTGTGTTAGATAACCAATGCTGAGTGGGGGAATCCCCTTAAAGCTGCGATTGCTGCTGGCTTTAAGCACTCTTAGGCCTTAAGCATTTTAATTACGTTAAAAACTTTTGCAGGCATTAGATAAATTGGAGCCGAAGATGAATCCAAAGCTAATGCTAAATCTGCAGCCGAGTCGGCAGCGAACGGCAAACTTATGTCACTTTGATCCTTGCGAGCAACTTTGGGCCAACTCATGCGCGAGACAATGGGGAACTACCCTCCTTGCGGCGCCTCACCCCTCCCACTGGTAATCAAGTTAGTCTTTAAAATTGAAATTCCAGCATTAGGCTAGGAATGCGAGCAACGTAAAACACAATCTATCCGAAAGGGGTGGCTGCCAACGGGATTTCGAAAGGCGGAGGACGGAGGACAACTGGGCTGGAATTGGAAGTTTCGCTGCCGCTTATCTGTTTCAAATGTGCCACAGCACGCCGAATTTCTTGCACCAAGAAATTATTGCTCGTCACCCATGGAAGTCTGTCAAATATATCAGAGGCGTCGAATAATTAAAAGTACTTATATGCGGATTTCAAGAGGCAGCTGGCCATCTATATATAGTTTTTGCGGAATATATCGGCTATTTCAATTTAAAATGATATATGGCAGATTTGGCTGAAGGCCTTAAGAGCCCCTAAGAATCATTGTTCACATTCATAGAATTTACTTAATGTGGTGCATAAATACATATTTATGCAGTATTAAATGCTGCCTTAGTTAATAGTTCTTATACTATAACATCTTTAT